GGGGGGAAGTTGCCCGGCCTAGGTCCCCCTGGGGTCGCCATCACCTCAGCTAATCGAAATTGCGCAACGAGTGGATCGAATGGGACACGATCCACAGCAAGAACACTTCTTCTGTTCTCCTAATCACAATCCAGTCCTACCCAACACAAAATCTGCAAATGTTTGGGCAGTTGCATGAGGACAGGCCGTCCTTTTTTCTTCAAATCAAACAATAAGGGATAGGAAAAACGTAGAGAGGACCGCTTACAACATTAAAAAAAAAAAAAAAAACTGTAATGCAGTTCAAAATTCCGGTCGTTGCAGGAAGAATCGACCGTTTTCCGACCAGAATTCGATTTGACTATTAAAAGACAGGAGAGAAAACATCCATTGAAAATCGAATCATCAAACTGAACAAGATAAACCCAAAATCACATTAACAGGAGCTTTTAGGAGACGAATTGAAGGTACCTAAATATTCAGGCGATGGAGTCGGGCGCTGTTCGTTCTCGAAAGGGGTTTTAGAATTGATTTAAAAATATACGGATGGAGTCTGGCGATGTTGTAGACGAGAACGAACAAAGATATAGGTGAATATACTGCGAGTGAAAATTTGGAATATTTAATAATTATATCATTGTTTTCTATTTTATTTTTTTTAACTTTACTTTGTAAATTAAATATCTCCTCTAGTAGAGTTTCACAATGTATCAATTTGCTGTGTTTCCTAATTTTGTGGAGACTAGTAATAAATTTATGCATATGCAAAAATCTAAATAAAATATAATTTAGTCATACAGTAAAACCTATATAAATTAATAATGTTGGGACCATAAAATTTTATTAATTCAGAGAGATATTAATTAATCAGTAAACTAACTAATAATTTACTAATTTAAATAGTGCTTTCACGATTTAGCGAATATAAATTTTGGAAAGTGTGGTTTGTACTTGGTGAGCAAGTAGACTTGCTAGGAAAGAACCTTAAGTAAATTTGGAAAGAAATATATATGTACAAGAGTAAAAAAAAAAATACATTAAGAAATGGGTTTCTTCGTTAACAAGTATTATGTAGCTATAAATATGTGGTTTATGTTTTAGGGTTTTATATGTTTGGTGTAGTTTTTTTATCATGGTGTCTCATCTAAAAGGGGTTCAAAAATCAACCATGATCGATCAAGTACAAAAGCATTATGTGAGTATAGGAGAGATCACCCCACAATCACTTAAAACGAATTACAACAATGGTTTGATAAAAACTAGTACGTAATCACGTGCGATGCACGGGACGGAGATATTAAATAAGTTATATTCACATACTCTGTCCGCTTAAGTTCAAAAAGCAATAGGGTTATCATCTGTTTTCACTTCTTTTTATCAACAACGTTAAATCTAAAAAACAATAGGGTTTAAATTTATTTTTTACTTTTAATCAACGTTGTTTTTAGTAGAACATTAGATACGAGCATGTTAGGCATAACTTGTAAAATAATATCTATATTATTATCTCACTAATATATATATACTAATATAAACTTATGTTAGTATATATATTTATTCTTTGATATAAGAGAAAGTAACAGTTTTATTTATCCTTTTTCACTATATAATACTTAATTATTATTTTATTATAAGTGTTGTTGTCATATAATATATCATTATTATTTATAAAAGTTATATAAGTTGCACGTTTTCTTTTTCTTTTTATTTTATGTAATGAAAAATATTTAATGCATGTTAGTATTGTTTATTTATGTAATCAATTTAAAACATGTAAATATTTAAAATAAAATAATGTATAATATTTTACAAGATATACACCCATAGTTTTTTAGAATTAAATTTAATATACAAATTAAACAACTTTGATTTAGCAAACGCCAAAAAAACTCAATCTCTTCTATAATCAAAACTTTTATAATTTGGATAATAAGGATTTAGAGTTTATTTACTCTGCAATGAAAATAAATCTTAGAAGACACTACAAGAAATTGTCAAAATACCAACAAAAATTTTTTCGTTGGGGATTACCAATGGATTAGCAATTCATTATATATAATATTTTTCTAAACGGATTGCCAACAAAATACTAACAAGATATAGCAAAGAAAAATTACATCTTTGTATTTCGTTGGCAAATAGTGACGGAAATATTCCGTTAGTAAACACATACTAAATACCAATAGAATAGCAACAAAGTCTTTCAAAGTCGTATTAGCAATGGATTACTCAACGGATTTTTTCGTTCGCAAATAGCAACAGAATAACAACAACATCATAAATATTGTATTAGCAATGAATTATTCTGTTGGTAAATAGCAACGGTTTTTTTTGTTGGCAAATAGCAACGGAATAACAACAGACATCAATATTGTATTAGCAATAATTTATTCTGTTGGTAAATAGTAACGGATTTTGTCCATTGGCAAATAACAACGGATTTTGTCCGTTTGCAAACAGCAACGAAATAGCAACAAACTCTTCAAAATTGTATTAGAAACAAATTTTTAAGGTTGATTCACAATAATTTTAGTGATTAAATTTATTTATATTTTATTTGCACAGTAATGCTCTAAAACTTTTTTACATTTATTCTTAATATCTTTATTAAAAAGAACTAGCTAGACGTTATTGATGTTAGTTATCACAAGCAAACATGACTATAAATATATAAAAATCTTTAATAAATTTAAAAAATACATTATGGAGGTTTTAAAAAGTGGATTGCTATTTACCGCCCCCCTATTACT